CGTCACTGCTTTATTTTAGGAAAATACATAAGTTTTTTATTTTGGGAGTTTAACTGACCATTTTCGTAGTCAAATTGGCGAAAATCATCATTTTGAACTTGAGCTACTAATTCAATAAAAGTTTGGTATTGTGACATAAATGAAATGTTTGGACAAAGCCACTTTGGAACCTCTGTGAATATTATTGAATCTTGGCCCGAAAGAAAGATCAGCCACTCCATTTGACGGCTCCTGCATTTTCTTCCATTTGCTCTTGGCTTCTGCTGCCTTTTTATATTATTATTATTATTATTATTATTATTATTATTATTATTTTTTTTTTTTTTTTTTTTTTTTCAATGCGCCTCGAATTTCTCTATTGTTCTTCTCTTTTTCGCCATCAAATTTCAACACCCACAACTTATAAACTCCATCATAGTGGTGGAGGAAGTGGCGGGGTGGTTTGAAGAGAATAGAAGAGTGAGTGGGTATAATTAATGAAAATGAAAGTTGGATCTGATTTCATCCACGCAATTTACCAAGATTACAGTGATGGAAAAGTCAAATTTTAGTGATATTTATGCAATATCCACTTGTGTATATATGTAGCTTCGACAAGCAGCAACCTAGATACCAATGTCGACAACCTATTAGCCATAGTTGACCTCTTGCTTCCAATTGCAAGCCATTTGTCTTCCCATAATTGTCCGTTCGACAAAGCGGTAGGAGAGACGGTGACAGTGGCAGTGGAATCAAATCGAATAATAGAAATGGCGTCAAATAATTGTTGTTTTCAACTCTTAAAAATTTCTTTCAAAATCTAGTTCTCAAAAAGGGATTTTGGTGATAACTTTCAAAATCCAGTTAGTTGATTTATGTTGATGTCTTTTTGGGACTTCTTCTATTGGTTTTGGTGAATTAGTTGGGGTCGGTTTGTGGTGGAAAAGATTCGGGACTATGATAATGGTTATGTTAGTGGCGTCTCTTTTTCTACTACAGAACGGCTTGGGGTGGCTGTGATGGTGGCAATTGGGTGGTTTTGGTTTTGTGGGTGAGAGGTTGGAGAAGAGGAAGGAGATGGAGATGGAGATGGGTTGTAGTTCTATTTTTTATTTTTTATTTCATAGGGAAAATGTTCCATCTTATTTGGGGAAAATAATAAAGTTTTTTAGTTTGGGAGTTAATTGACCTTTTTTTTTAGTCAAACTGATTGAAACCATCATTTTGAACTTGAACTCCAGATTTTTTAAAGATTTAGTACTTACGATAGTATAAATGAAAGGTTTTGTATACTGTAATTGCAGTTTTCATAATATATATGAAAAATCAACTTTGAATCTATGGTGGTGAGTTTGTCCTTGTGACCAAGGTGGTCTCGCATGTCATTACGAGTTGTGTAAAGATCAATCACAAAAATGTATACAAGGTGTTTTTAAAAATAGAAATGTAAATATGAATATAAAATAAGATTTTACATTGGAAAAAGATGTGCTGTGATCCTTCTACAAGTCTTTAGACCATTTTCACACTTTAGGAGATCTATATCATTTATTTATTTATTTTTAACATTACTCTTCTTTTTTATTAGATAAAATTTGACTTCTTTTATTATGTCAATTTTTTTTTTTTTGGGTCACTTTTTGAATTTTAGTAGATGAATTTAACTTCTTTTATTTTTGTCACTTTCTAAGTTTCTGAAAATACATTTGAAAAATTAATCTAATTTAATTCATGCACCCTTTTCAAGTTTTTATCACTTTTAAGAGATGTCATTTTATTATATATTATTTTGTGAAGGATGTTGAGAGAAGTCAAGTTTTTGAGGAATATGTGGTTGTGGCTGGTTTGAAGTCGAAAGCACTATAGAGTTTTGAGTAAATTTTGTATTCTATTTTTTTTTTTTAACTAATGTGACATTTTTTGTGTGTTTGTCACTTTTTAGGAGATGTATATTTCTTTTTATTGTAAAAACCTTTTAATTGATATTTAGATCTTATCCTTACTTTTTTGTGTCGGATATTAACGTTGTTTATTTGGAAGTGACATGTTATATTACTTTTCAATTAAAAGACCAGACACTACTTTGGATGGATTTGTGGGCGTAAGCAATTCAATTTGAATAGTTTTGGCCTATTTTCAATTCAACCGTTTAAAACGATTTTGAAAAAAAAAAAATAAAAAATCTAAATAGTTTAAAACTGTTTTTGAAAAATCTCAAATATAACCACCACCGATTTGGTTTCAAATTAGTGTTTAGCAATTACAATTATGGTAATGCATATGTGATTACAAGCAACACAACATGACACATTTTTGCAGATAACAATCGTACTATAAATAAATCCACACGAATCATATCATTATATGATATATTATATTCATGGATGTGCCCCCAGGGCACATCTCCAAGTGGTAAAAGGGGAGGGTGGAGAAATCCAGCTTTGCTTGAGGTTGCTACGTCAAGGGTTCGAATCCTGAAATATGGATTTGGCTCTTGGGTCAGTGCAAGTGTAAAAGCAGCCTTCCACCCTGTACCCTTGGAGGCATAACCTGCGATTTACTTCTTTCAAGATACTCCAGGGCAGGGGTGGTGGGGGACCCTTAAGGTTAGAGTTTAACCTTTTTTTTTTTTTATATTCATGGATGTGTATTTCATTTAGTTTAATAAATGCTATTTTAACTTCTTTTTTCCTTTACTATTGTGGATTGTTTTTATTCCTAACAAACATGCCATTAAATAGGCCAATTTACTATAAACTAAACAAATTGAGAAATGCTCTAAAGTCGATTCTTGAATTGAAATTTGCATGTGCCATAACCCTATCGTCACCAACACACACATACTGCAATATATACTAGGATCGCTGCATTCAATGGATGGTGTATGGAGAATCCTCTAAAAATAACCACTTTGGACGAGAATAACACATTCCCCCCCACAATTAATTAAAATACAATTTCCTTGAGAAGCATTATTACTAAGATTAGAGAAGAATTTAACTTAGATTAGGATAATCTTGGTTGAAAATGACTGAACATAGATGATATACCTTCTCAAAAAGAGGCAAAAGGTATCTTCATATCTTGTAAAAAAACTTCACAAATGTCGATTTTTATTCCCTTAGTCCTTAATAAAATAATGTATCAAATAGATCGAAAATGAATGGAAGATCTTGACTAATAGTTTTGCTTTATCTAAACTTCATAAAACATAACAAATTACATTTTTGTTCGATAATTTTGGAATCAATTAAATGAAATCTTTTTTTATCATATTAGTGGAACTCAATCTATAGCAACTCTGGAAATGTGTCTTTGGTACGGGACACACAACGAAAATATGTATTAGCTAAATTTCATGTTATAAGATTTGATAAAGTTTTACACTTATTGTCAACTTACCATAACTCTCTTCCTTTACTTGGAATTGAGACCGATTATAAAACATGTATGCAGAGTTATTTTTAATAATTTCGAGAGACCAATGAATTTTAATATTGATTTACCTTATCATTTATTACTATGTTATTTAATTCTTGATTTTCCAAATTTAGGTTAATCAAGACCTCATGATGTCTGTCATATTTATAGTATAAGAGCACTGACAATTAAGGAAAATTTCTTGTCCAATCTATCAGCAAAAAAATTTGATTCAACTTAATTTAGAAAATTAATGGAGATTTTTGAAGTAATTATGTTCAATAGAAGAATAATTGGAGTGCACTAATTAAGTTTCTTTGCTTCATGGACCAGACAATAATTGTAAATTGTAACTATGTCCTATGAAGTACATGAGACAGATATTTTCTGGGATGCATCAGCAATTAAATGCCTTAATTAAGATTTGTCCAATTCTGAAGGTAAAACCCAAACTCTCTCCCATTGGTACATCAATTCTTTATCAGACAGACAGAATTGGAGAAACAAACCTCCGCATGAAGTCTACGTGGAGATGTAAAAATTCGGCACGAGCTTAAATGGCGTTTCAACTAAAAAATGTTGTGTGTGTGTGTGTGTACATATGTTTTTTCTTTTTATAGAAGACAAGGTGTTGGAAAAATAGGAACCCTATTTCATGTAACATTCGAAGATCCACCCAAAATAAACAACAAACCATATAGTACTAGTTTCAACAAGAAAACTTTCACAAATCATTAATTAACCTGTAAATCATGTAGTGATCAGAAGATAATGTACATATGCCTTATCCCGTAAAGTAAAACAAACTTTACAATTACCACAATACAGAATACAGTCATTTCAGTTCGAAACGTCGAGGACAAAACAGCAATAGAAGCTAGACGGCAAACTACATTATTTACTTCTCAAGGGGTGAAGCAGCAAGAACCGCATCCAATTTCGTCCACGAGTTACAGTATCAAAAGATAATGTACATATTCCATATCCCATAAAGTAAAATACAATTTATAATTAAAGTACCTGAAAGTTACCACAGTATTGTGCAATTTCTTCTATTAGTGTTAGAAGAATAATCCTTCTACCTGCCCACTTCTTTTGACCAACCAAAAAAAATTGTGCAACTTCTAGTACATGAACTGTGCTGAATTATTTATATATTAAGAACTAAAAACTTTCTTAGAATGAGAGTATTGTATTCCAGTGCCCAAATATTTTTCATTATTTTTAGGCCTCCGACGATGGGAGGATGTATAAATTCTACTCAGTCTGCTCAAAAAGTTATATATCACAGTTAACTTTGCCTCTCTTTGTGATCTTGTTGACTTCAATGCCTAATTTAAATGTGGATATTCTCAGCAATCTGCTACACTTAAATTACAACAAGAAGTTAGTCTTTTCAATAAATTTGGGGTCGATTACTTTATTTATTTTTTTATCGTTTTAATGTATTTCTTTTTTGGCTTCAATATTTTAGGAAATCAAATGAGTTTTGTTCTTGACCTCCAATCTAATAATAGTTCCTATGTACTCCTACAAGGGTCAGAAAAGGGCAGTGGACAAAAACATACAGAAAGATGAGTTGGCTATATGTACTATATTTCTATTCACTGGGCTGAAAAATCTAAATAAATAAATAAATATAAAATGAAGAAAACATGATGAGATTTTTCTGTTGTCTCTGAGTGCATGAGAATTAAAGTGGCAAAGAGCAATAGGGTAGTAAGGCAAAAGAACTAGTGACATATCCCCACATCTATAATAAAAAAAATTTAGATGCAGTGTCATAGTCATCTTTATAGTGTACCTCTCATTTATTACCCTTGTCTTTTGCCTTCATTCGTTCATTCTCCGTCCACTAAAATGTTCTTTGGCCTCCTTCTATCCCATTCTATTTTACCTTTTCTCTATTGAATCTGCAGGCACACACTAACTTTTTCTCATCCAATTAGGGTTTCCCAATTGAGAATTTGCAGCAATAAATCTGTGCAGTGTGCAGTTTGAAGAAACAAAGAACAGTTTCTTGGAAGAAATCCTACAAGGAAAAAAGGTAGTTGTTATGATCTTTTTTCTTCTTCTGATCAATGACACTAGACCATAGAGGTAAATTCTTGAAAGCCCTTTATAGCTTTTCTTGGATATGTTCACTTTGTTCTAGTCATATGTTTGTTTTGTAAAGGTAAATACTAAAATAAGTAGCTTTTCGTAAGTTACAGAGCTTGATCTAGGGTTTTCTTGCTTGCACATTGATCAACCTCTTTAATTATATCCATGTTTAACAAAGTATCAGAAATATGCAAGAACTTTATGAAACTGTTGAGTATTAATGACTAAAAATATCAGTAACAAAAATGTTAATTTTATGAAGAAATTAAAAGGGAAGAGAACTGTATAATACTCAAATTCTAATAAATTTTGAACATACTTGGAGGATTTTGTTTTCTTTCTGTGCGTGGAATACTCATAAATGAAAACTTGAACATACTTGGAGGATTTTGTTTTCTTTGTGTGTGTGAAATAGTAAAAAGTTTAAAATTTTAGATTTGCAGAAGAGAATAACATGCAAATTCTTGGTAATTCCAGTGTGATTAGTACAAGGAAACCAACAAAAAGAAGGGGAAAACATCTTTCTGGTTTTCAGCATCAATTATTTGTCCATAACTAAGAAAGCATTGGTACTTGAACAGGTATTGATAGAAATACTACAAGAAATTTTACTGTAAACGATCTTCAAATGTTTCTCAATGACCCTTTTCTGACAAATTAATTTTTTGTTGTTGAAATGAAATATTTTGTAGCCGAGAGAAAGAGAGATTTGCATCTGGATCTATTGTAGTATTCCAATCTGACTGAGAAGTATGTACACAATCTGCAAAGTTCTGTGATTACAATAAAGTACCAGAAACACAGAGTAATTTGAACAGACAGAAAAAAATATATATATAGATTTTAATGCAAGCTAGAAGAAATAAAGAAAGATAGAAATATTTAATGGATTTACTTGTTATTTCTTGATGATGCAGGGAAAAATGGCTTCATCCAGTTCTTACAACTGTCCCTGTGCAGCCTGCAAGTTCTTGAGGAGGAAATGCATGCCAGATTGCATTTTTGCACCATACTTCCCACCAGAGGAGCCCCAGAAATTTGCAAATGTGCACAAGATTTTTGGCGCAAGCAACGTTACCAAGCTCCTCAATGAGCTTCTCCCTCACCAGAGGGAGGATGCAGTGAATTCCCTTGCCTATGAAGCCGAAGCCCGAGTCCGGGATCCTGTCTACGGCTGCGTTGGTGCCATCACGTTCCTCCAAAGACAAGTCGAGCGCCTTCAAAAGGAACTCGATGCAGCTAATGCAGACTTAATTCGCTTCGCGTGCAATGAGATTCCGACCAGTTTACCAGCCACTCAAGGAGTTAATTCACTTCATTCAGTGGCGGCAGCGCCCCGCCAGAGACCGGTAAGGATTGGCAATGAAAGTGGTGGCGGCTTTTGTCAAACACCTTCAAACTTCCACAACACATATCCTTTTCCATGGAATGATCATAACCCTTCTGGTAATATATATGGAGGAGGGGTAGATGGAAATATTTAAGGATATATCACCTATAAATCTAGGGCTTATGTCCCTGCCCTAGAGGAATGGTATGCATTTTTATCTTAATTTGTCATGGTCACTAGCTAGCCTCACAAGCATTCTTCTAGCTAGACTGAGTCCTATTATCCTCAAAAGAACATTATTTTGGGTGGTTTTAATAATTAAACAAATATTAAAGTCTTGTTTATTTAGTCTAAAAGTACTGGACCTGATAAGAATGTTCATGTGAAGTCTCTTAATTATTCTGTTGGATTGTTCATCATCAAGAATAAACTTGTGTGAAGTAATTATTAGTTGTTAAGGAAAAAAGAGTGATTATATAGTAAAATTAAGTCTACAGTTATCTTTCATTGAGCTAATATATTCTTAATTCCTAGATTAGTCTGTTTTGTTCTTGAGGACGACTTTCTTTATTTCTGGTGTGATTGATATACCATTTGATTTTTCAAAAAGGCCTTGTTAAAAAAATTTAGTGCGTAAAGTAGTTGGACATACAAGTCAATATGTGCACATAGACGTCCCAGATTTTTACTTTCAAAACTGCACTAAACAACTGTCAAAAACGACTCTCAAAAGTATCGCACTTTCTTAATTTCTCTAATAAGTCAAGTAGATGAGAAGAAATTCAGTGAAGAGGAGTCATTATCAGAAGGGTTTTTCTTGTCAAATTCAAAAGATCAGAAAATAAGTAGCTTTTAAGCAAAATGTCTCCAAGTCAAATTTATTTTCAAGGTGTCCGCTCTCTCTCTCTCTCTCTCTCTCTCTCTCTCTCTCTCTCACACACACACACACACACACACACAGACATGTAAGGTCATTGTACGTCCGTCGACAACTCTCTAGCATGCCTGTGTTTGAATCTTGACACCTTTCATACTGTGTATAAATCTTTTCTTGCAATATCAAGAACAGTGAGAAATAGTTCTCTCTCGCATTGGATCCATAAATTAATAAAGATGTTGGCCTTCCTTGTAGAGAGTTTCAGCTTTTCACTATCAGCACTGCTAAGATAAACAGTAGAACCCGCAACCCACCCCACCTACCTAACCACCTACGCCCAACAACTTGTTATCTGAAAAATAAACATGTAGTTATTAGGGTTAGGGTTTAAATCTCGTAAACAAACCAGAGATTTGTATGATTCATCCTGTGTACCAGAATCCACATGGGTGTTTATATCAAACAGTAAAAAGCGTCCACAATGAAACATTAGCCTCTGCCATTTCTGTTTCATCCAAAAATATATGTCAGTTTCTCTGCAGTTCTATCTATATCATATCCTAAAATTCTTGGGTTTTTCTCGAGATCGCCATGAATCACCTTTGATTCATCACTTGATGTGATTCTGAATTTTAGTGGATGAAAATCAGAATCTGATTTAGAAGATTTGAGCATTCATTTGTACTCAAGCTGATAATATTCATCCATCATTAATTATCTTTTCAATCATAAATTTTTTCAACAATAGGGGGCTTGAAAAAAAGTGCTTAAAAGCTTATGATAGTTCACATGCATGTACGCCCAGTAACATATATGTATTCTTTTGCTCAGTTGTGTTAATTGCTGGGGAATTTTTCTAAATTTACACTTGGCAGAATTTCTCTGAGAGATAACACATCCAATTACATGCTGTCATCTCAGCCTTGCAAAATCCCCTATTCAAGGGACTTATTCATTTTTCACTCTAGTCGATGTAAGTAAAATAAATACACTTGCAAGTTCACTCAAACATGAGCCATTTACTTCACGCTAAATCGGGATCTCTAGGCACGTGTCACCCGTTATGAACCCTAAGTTCAAACATTAATTTCAATCAGGTATTCAAAACTATAAGGTTTCTATTGTATTTACAATTCTATAGACAAAAGAATTAATATAAAAGAGTTGTAAAAGTCAAGGAGCCTGCTGAGACGTTATAATCAAAGTTAAATTATTGAGGTCTAATTATAGCAAAAGAGTTGGAGTTGGTAGTATAGTCCTCGAAGGATTCCAAGATATCGAAAAAGATCACGTATGATCATTGAAATGCAATCAAAAGTCTAAAGGATATCAAAGAGCCTCACAAGTTATGTTCCAAATTCTCAATTGTAACGTACAACGTATTTTTCATATAGAAAATACTGGAATATAGATAAGTCTATTTCTAGAAGAATTGTAGTTCTTTGAGTTAGATTTTCAGGTCATTTTAAATCATCTCAATTAGATATTGGGACAGAAAGTTATGATAAAAATACTGACAACTGCTCAGATGTTGTCTGCTGTTGCTGGCCTATCCCTCGAGCGACAGGTCGACAACTAGAATTCTATTTTGCTTCAAACACTTGATTTTTCAATCCATTTTCATCCCAAACACTTTCCCCTATATATATCCTGCCCTATGAACGTCCAAAAGCGTGGTTGTTCATTGTGTTATCTCTCCATATCATTCTTTGAAGATCCAAAAGCACATTCAAACCTTGATTTCAATCCTTTGGTTTTTGAGATTATACAACCACATATTTGGAGAAACATCAAATCCTTGAATCCAAAACACCTGACTTCTTTAACACCGTAAGGAAGGTACTTTCTTAGTTGGGCATTAGGAGAGGTAGATTGCAAGCACAAGAAAAAGTATAAGAATTGGTTATTCTTGGAATTCCACTCGGAAGAGATAATTGAAGAATATCGGGAAGCTGGTGGAGTCGGTAGATCTTAGAGATTAGAGAAAGTAGATCAAAAAATTTAGTGGAGCTGTCTAGACAACATCTAACTGTAAGAGTCATTGTCTAAGTGGAGGTAACTGGTTTAATCCCGAAATTTTTATCCAGTTGGGGTTTCTCCGTCAAAACATCCGGTGTTATTTACTTCTTTTATATTACAAACTGTGGCATTCAAACATATAACACCTGAGCTTGTATGCTTAATCATCTAGAAACAATTAATAAATGACTTGTTGCTTTAATTGTAAATTCTACACGTAAGGTCAAACTAATAAATAATCTAGAAAGTTTATTTGAGAATCATAGCATTCCGATAATTTCACAAGTCTTATCCGAGCGTTTTAGAGCGACTTTACAAAAATGACTAATCATTATAATCAGAAAATTTTGTAAGATTCACTATTTTTTTTATTATTCCTATTTAGGGCTGAGTATGGTCCGGTTTGATTCTCAATAGAACTGAACTGGATTCGAAATTTTCAGATATTTAGTAAGTTGAACTGTAGGGTCCAGATTTAATTATTAAATTGCTTAGGTTCTGATCGATTCGGTTTGGTTTGATTACATTCGATTCTTGGGTTCCATACTATAATTAGATTATTTAATATTTACAAAACTATATTAATTCAACTAATGACATGTTAAATATTAGTTCTTTTAAAATAATGTAGTTCAATTTTATGTGTCTTTCTTTGCCAAGTTATTCGTAGATTTGATTGTTAAAATCACAGGAAGAGGAAGATAGTGACCTCAAAATAATTAAGAGAAGAGTTGTCGAGTTTCCATTTGATTTCTCTAAAATGGTAGAAATGATACTACAGTAGAATAACAAATTTGAGTAAAACTTAGGTCAATTTGATTAAGTTGAGTTTGAACTGAAAAGTAGAAATAGGAAAAATCATATTTTTGGGTTTGAGCTAAATCAATTAGTTGGCAAATTTTTATTTAGGAAAAGATAAAATAATTAGCCTTATTTAAAATAAATTAATTAAAAAATTAGGAAAATTCGATTCTTATTCAGCTCTTCGATTTTTGATTTAGAATCGAGAACCGAATAAAATTCATTGATTTTTTTATTCTAATACCCATTCAAGTATTTAACTTAAAAAGGGTTCAGTTCGAGAGTTTTTTCTAGCGTTATTCCTATTTATCAATTTAGGAAGCATAAGTTTAGATTTTTAGTGGAAAACATGATCAAGTCTATATATATATATATATATATATATATAAGAAATCAATTGAATCTTAATGGCCTTGTAATTTTTCATCCTCCAATTTTATTTGTACCCATAGGACATATGTTGATATTCATTTTAATTTTTGTATTTTCAAAGAAACAAGCCGTTTATTGTTGAATCAATGCTAAAGTTGAAGTGCATGATGAAGATGAAGGAGAATATAAAGCCTTATTAATCTCCAAAAAAAATGTAGAATATGCATTGTCATACTATATTTACACACATGACCAAAAGTTGCAATTGAAGACGAATTAATTGTAAACGTTATACCCTAGGTCCAATCAACTTTGGATATAAATACTTTTGCTATATAATTAATGCAATTTAATGACAGATCTATTATTTAATTAATAGAAAATTAAATTAAATAATAGAGTCCATATACTCAAATTTTCGTAATTTGTTAATCATAAGGAGTTGTGATTGTGAGATACAAATTACATATAATTGAATCTTAAATCGTCTGTGGTCGTAAGTAATAACGAGATACAGATATCGTTATTACAGATAGACCATCACGTGTGACATTTCTTACTTGTGAAGTAAGTAGCTGATCTCACAAGTCAAAGTGTGGTGACACTTAAATGAATATGTGGATGTTTTGTTATAGAACAAAACATTGGAGACTCGCCGAGAGATTCCACATGGATAACTATCTGAGTGTCAATGGTTAATCTCTAATGTTCAGTAGTGGGATTGGTCATTTTGACTTGAGGTCGTTATAGTACCTTATATGAGGATGGTCATGTTTTGACGGTGTTGAATGTTGCTCTGCCAAGGACCGCTAATACGGCATCGTTCGGGTATGTCAAGAGTCATATGAAGGTTATGAATGACCAATAGATGATTCGTCACTCTTAGATCGTAAAAGATTATGATCTACATTTTATTCAATTAAGTCGATAACGAAATCCTTAGCCAAGGTGTACTCATAAATCGAAAATGAGTTTTCAACTTATATTGACTTAATAGTGGAGTGAAAGATATGATCGATAATCGAGATTGACACACTTCCATATTTCGTAATTGATCGGATCATATTGACGAATAGATTATAGTTTCATGGTAAACGAAAGAGTTTGATTTTGTCATACCACGTGACATTTTTCGTCACATGTATTGCCCAGATATATTGCTAGATATCAATCTGAGACGGCGAGTGTGAATTGGTGATAAATTAAAAGGGTATTTTAATTTATCAATTTTGATTAGATCAAAATAATATTTCACGTCGTTAGGTATCGTGATCG